AATAGAATAGAATAGAATAGAATAGAATAGAATAGAATAGAATAGAACAGAACAGAATTCTTTATTGGCCAAGTGTGATTGGACACACAAGGAATGGCAAGAATGGAAGAATGGCAACCCTGTTTGGGCAGAAGATCTTGAGATGTTTCAGCTCTTCTCCGTCTGCTGGTCTCAGGAGCAAAGGAGCCTTGGCAGAACTTAAAAGTTGGCCACCTGTTGCTTGATGAACCACCCAACCTCATTCTTCCCCATGTTGTCCTACACACCTGAAGCTTCAGTTGGGAAGTGTTGATGCTCGAGTCCTCTTCAAGAGCAGAAGAAATGACCTGTGCAAGCAAAGAAATTCAGAGATGAGTGCAAATAGCTAAAAGGTCAAATAGGGTGACTGTTTAGGACCTCTCCTCCCAAGGGGTTTGCTTCTCCTTGGGTTCTGGCTCATTTCTTGAGCCTGGGGAGCACCAAGAGACTTCTTCAAAGCTCTCTTGGCCACACCCAAGATCTCAAGAACCAACAGGAGAAGGGGCATCTTCTCCGTCCTGATTTTCATTGCTTAATTCTCACATTGAGATAACCACTCTTTGCATCCACTGTGGACCTCTGGAATGGGATGTGGGGATATTTCTTTTTTAAAAACCCTGTTTTTTAAAAAAAAAATATCTTGGCAGGACCAAATGTTTTCAACTCCCACCTAACCTTAAGATTTCTTGGTGGCTTCTCATCTAGTCGAATAGAATAGAATTCTTTATTGGTCAAGTGTGGTTGGACACACAAGGAATTTGTCTTGGTGCAAATACTCTCAGTATCAGTATACATAAAAGAAAAGATACTTAGCTTCTGGACCCAAACTTGGTTCAAGTTTGGTCCAGTGTTTCTCAAACCTGGCTAGTTGAAGATGTGTGGACTTCAATTCTCAGGATTTCCCAGTGAGCCGTGATGGTTGAAGATGAGTGAAGATGGTTGAAGATGTGTGAACTTCTAGAATTTCCCAGTAAGCCATGATGGTGGAAGATTGTGGAAGATGTGTTGACGTCAACTCCCATGGCTGACTGGGGAATGGTAGGAAGTGAAGCTCACCCATCTTCAAGTGCCCAAGGTTGCTCTAATCGGATGCTGAGATAGATAGAACATCTGGACGTGGTTTGGAAGGATTAGCTCTAAGACAAGTGAAATAAACTCAACTTTTATAATCACCTTGGATTGACCGAGATAGTCCTTCTCTTTCAACTCTTCAGCTTGCAAGGGAGGCCTGAAAAATGTCCCTGGTGGGACGGTCTGGGGTTCCAGGAAGAGATGCTCCTGACATGAGACAGAGGCAAAATCTCAGCTCAAAATGGGAGAAGAACAGAGTTACGTTTAAGATGGAATGAAATCTCAGGTTTTTTGGGGAGGAATTTGTCTGGTTGAAATCAACCCCACTCCCCCATTTAAATGAGACGACTTACCTCTATTTGTTTTAAAGCAACCACCATTTGTCTTTGGGGCCTTTGTCTGGCTGCTTCTTCCAGAGTTTCTCGTGCTTCGTGCCAACGTCCAAGCTGGCAGTGGGTGGCCGCCATATTATGCAGCACCTGTGGCCATACAGAAATTAAGTCACAGACTCTGTTTTGTTTTGTTTTTTCATTAGGATACAGGTGAGATGCACGTTCGAAATGATGCTGCTAAGAAAGATGGAGATCTTCTCCCATCCCCAACCCACAGCCCCCGTTTTACTCCAAGGTCCCTCCATTTTGTTTCTCATCCCTCACCTCTGAGGCGCAAAGGACAAAGGCCAAACCGAGCTGTTTGTAATTGATGCAGAAATTGTTCCGGAGAAAGCCCATAGCTAGCTTCCCATCGTTCAAAGCTTCCTCGTGCCTGGGGTCAGAAGAGAAGAGAGAAAGGTGGGGGGGGGAGAAAAAAGGAGGAAATGAAGATAAGAAACGAAGTTGCATTTATTATTTATGGAGAGTGGAGTAGCCGTAGACTTTGCTGTTATCAAATGTCACAAGGATGCTTTTGCTCCACCAGCAGCTTCCAACCAAACCTTTGGAAGACAGAAGCAATGGGGTTTGTTTATGAATTAAATTGATATGCTGGGCCTCTCCCCGATAAGGCGACTCTGGGTAGGAATCATATGCATTAGAATTCAAAATAGAATTAACAGATTAACAGAGTTGGATTGATTAGAAATAGAATGAATAAGATAGGGTAGGGTAGGGTAGGGTACAGTAGAAGAGAATAGAGTATAGAAAAATAGAGTAAAGTAGAAGAGAAGATAAATTGGAATAGAAAAGAAATTGGAATGGAATAGGATAGGATAGGATAGGGTAGAGTAGAGTAGAATAGAATAGAAGAGAATAGAATAGAATAGAATAGAATAGAATAGAATAGAATAGAGTAGAGTAGGGTAGGGTAGGGTAGGGTAGAGTAGAGTAGAGTAGAGTAGAGTAGAGTAGAGTAGAATAGAATAGAATAGAATAGAATAGAATAGAATAGAATAGAATAGAATAGAATAGAATAGAACAGAATAGAATAGAATAGAATAGAATAGAATAATATAGAGTAGAATATAGAGTAGAGAATAGAATAGAATAGGAATATAGAATAGAACAGAATAGAATGAAGAATAGAATAGAATAATATAGAGTAGAATAAATAGAATAGAATAGAATAGAATAGAATAGAATAGAATAGAATAGGAAATGGAACAGAATAGAATAGAATAGAACAATTACAGATCCCATCTCCCCCCCTGTTCATCCTACTCCCCCCCTCCCCATTTTTTTAGTTAGAGTGGATAATTTGTATTTTTATACCAATAAAGGAGAATATTTGTAGCTTAGGGTTGAAATGAGGGGTCCTTGTTGCTCTCTGAGCTTGGTTGTTTTCTTGCAGACCTTTCATGACCCATCTAGGTAACATCATCAGTGCTAGTAGGGAATGGACTTTGTTCTCTGTTTATAGTCTAGCGGCGTGCCCTGTCAGTGGTCTTGGGAGTTCTTCTTTATTATTAGTTTCTTTGGCAGTTCCTTGATTGGGGTATTGTTATGTGAATGCAACATGGGAGGCGACAATTCCTTACCTGCCCAGCTGAAAATGAACATAACTTCTTTGGAAGAAGCCCACGGCCAAGCAATTGTCTTTGGAAAGTGCTTGATTAAAAGCCTAAAAGTAAAAATAGAATAGCTAGTCAACAGGATGAAGGCCAAGAAATTTTTCCCCTTCCCCTGGAGGATAGTTTGGACAACCCTTGACCAAGATGGTATAATAGGATCTCCTTCCTTGAGCAGAAGTTGGACTAGAAGACTGCCAGCCTTCTAATCCAACCTTATAATTCTAATTTTTTTTTTTTTTAAAGTGAGCTGGCCACCTCGGTGAGCCTGACGTTGGTTGCATTGGGAAGCCATGAATCAGAGGCTGTTGAAATGTCTGAAATGGAGAGGGAAAATGGCTTGGGGTTTAACTGGAGGCGGACTGTTTAGATTGCACTTCTGGGAAGGAGTCCCTCAACTCTTTCAAAAGCAGGGGCACAGCCCGGTGCCAAATCTTTCCTACGTGTGGGGAGGCCCACGAGTACCGAGGGATGCTGGTCTTTGCAAGAAGTCATTTCTATGGAGCTTGTTTGAGAAACTCTCTGCTGGCATTGTGTCACTGGAAAGTGGGGTATTCCCGAGCATGGACAAAGTGCCTGTTTGGGAGAAGGGACGCTGGCTCAGCAGGGGGAGGGTTTAATTTCCACGCTGTCTCTCTTTTCTACATTCCTCCGCTGGGTTTATATTTGAAATAAACAGAGATCCTGTTTTCTTTAGGAATCGGTGGTACGAAGTCGTT